GTCACAGATGGCTGTGGCAGTGATGAATACTGTAGGGACATATGGAGGTAGGACTTCTGATTCCCTAGATAAGATCAGTTTGACTTTGGCTGACATTTGGAGGTGATCATTACCCTAGCCATCATCATTCTAAAGTTCTCCTCAATACAAGCTTTCAGCCAAGATGGCTGAGACATGGCCAAGTCTTGGCAACAGTCAATGTAAGGAAATTGACCAGGATGGTTAGGGTTCACTGCAACAATCTTAAACTCTTGGCTAATTATCTCCTTATCAAGTGAGTCCTCAGTGGGTCTCCCACCCCAAAAGATGGCCAGTCATTGTCATAGAAAGTTCAGAGCTTTCTGGGAGTGAGCTTAACACACACTCTAGGGAAGTCAGTTTACTCTGCTTTTCACCCATTTCCTCCCCCTAACAGACAATTTTCACACACAAGAGAGGGAGCAAGAAAAGCGATGGGTTTTCATTGGAAGGGTGTTCCACACGCTCACCTTGTCCATTTCCAGACACTCATTCAAGGAGATATTTCAGTCTCCTCACAGCAAACTCCTGGGGGCCCATCATCACCCTCAGCCACAAGAGGATCACCATGGAATCCCAGACCAGGACTCAGGTCAGAACCTTCCTGCTCATTCACACACAAACACACAAGGACTCCAACCCACTTCCCAGCACAAAATGCCTTGGAGTTGCGATTTCATTTCTTTTGGAACTACTAGGGCAACTCTGGCACTCCAGTATGCTGCCCAGTTCCCAGGAGATTTCAGTTTCAATGGAACTTAGGCAATTCTGGAAGTGACCAGTCTCCCCTTCCACCTCTTTACAGTGAGACTACCAAACTGAACTTGAGTCTTACCAAATCTGGCAGTTGAAGTTCCTTGAACTGGTTCTTAGCCTTCTGAGACTGTTGTGCATCCAGAGGGCTCACCTCAGCACATCTGGAGGGGCCAAGCTTCCAAGAGATCAAGTAGGATCCAGTCTCCCAGCGCTCCAAAGTTCAGACTCCAGCAACAAAGGAGGTGGTGGAAATACACTGTCCCAGAGTCCCAGTCACAAGCCTCCAGATGCTGCAGGATGTTTGTGTAGAGAGAGGAGACACAGAGGACTTTTTACCAGGAAGCAGCTTTATTCATGGATTTGTATCCATGATCAGAGGATTTGTATCAAAAGGCTGAGTGCCAAACATGGCATAGTTGCACCCTTTTATACAATGTTTGTGTCTTTGTCTCCCTTATATGGGCAAGCACTAACATTGTGCAGCCTGGTTGGGTATACATTAATATTCTAAGGTCGGATTAAGGATGTTTATGATTTATGATATAGTGTTACATCAGAACTACACATATGTACACACATACTGACACTGCTACATTGTAAAAAGTTCCCAGCCCTTGTGTCAGAAGAGACCTTACTATCTCTGAGCCAATTTTTTTGAAATTTTTCCCCAGGTGCAAGGGATTTAACCCACAGCCTTGTGCATGGTAGGCAAGCATTCCACCACTGAGCTACATCTTGAGTCCCGGAATCAACTCTAAAATTTTTATTCCTTAGAGGCTGCGGACATTTATTCTGATACTAGACATCAGCAAAAGCTGAAAGGCTATGTTTATAATCCAAGCTACTTAGCAGGCTAGGCAGAAAAATTACAAGTTTGAGGCTAGACTGAACAATGTAGTAAGGCCCTGTTTCAAAATCAAAATGGCCAGGGATGTATCTCAGAGCAAGGTCCTGGGCTCAATCTCCTGTACAGAAAAGGAAAAAGGAAAATCTAGATGTGTATACTTACTTTGTATAAAATATACAAATACATAAATAACAATGGAAAGGAATCAGAAAAGGCCATTATAGAATGAACATCAATGTGGATTCAATAATAACTGTTAAGAGTCTGCAAACTGATTTTGCTCTACATAATCAATATAGAAACATGGGCCAGGCATAGTGGCACATGCCTGTAACTGCAGCACTTGGGAGGCTGAGGCAGGAGGATCATTGCAAGTTCAAGGCCAGCATGAACTGCATAGCAAGACCCTGTCTCAAAAAGACAAAAAAAGAAAGAAAGAAAGAAAGAAAGACAGACAAACTTATGGGATGCTACAGGAAAACCAAGGTGGCCTTAAGGTCTCCATAACTAAAATCATGGGATGGTTTAAATTTGCATTAGCTAAGTAATAATTTACAAGGAAGTGTAAGTGGTACAGGGAGAGGGGCAGAACGTCACTCCTTTAAAGACTAAACCTTCAGAGTAACACCAGACCTAGGTAAAAACAGAGCAGGGAAGGAGCCTGTAAACTTAGTGATTGACTTGGTATAATAATAAGCCCAGTACAAGCAGATAACTGCTATTCCTGAGAAACTCTTGCAGCGGCACCAGCAGTACCCTAAAGCTTACAGATGTACCTCAGATACTAGTTTGAGAACCAGCTTATTCCCCCACAATGCCAGATCACTCAACACAAAGTCAGAAGTGTAAACAGAGAGCACACTCGGGCAAAATGACTTTTGAAATTGAATTTTCAGCCCTTCCTTTAGGCATCGTTTTCAACCTCCACCAGGGCAACAGATGCCTTTGTTTTACCAGGGGAACCCATACACGCACTGAAGGTGAAATTTTAATGAGAAGATAATGAAAGATGGGTGAGAAATGAGAATTACTAGCTGAACCTCTAACATTGAGTTAAGTATTATATATGCTGAGTTGTTGAGCAGAATCACCTGGAGAGCTTTAAAAATTCTTAATGCTCTGGCCCCATCCCAGAGCAGTTACAGTACCTCTGAATCTCAGGGGTAGGATCTGGGCATCAGCACTTTTTAAAGCTCCCCTGGTGGTTCCAGTATGCAGCACAGTTAAGAATGAAGCACTCTACAGGGAGTTAGTCTCAGTTTTGAATATCAAATATTCTTAATTAAAGCAGGATCAACTAAGTAGGCTTCCTAGGAGTAAAACACTCTGAAATATCACCCAATTTAACACAAAACTCTAGCATTTTAACTTTTTTTTTCTTTTTCAGTCAAACGCACTCAGCTTGCATTTTCTCATCTCCAGACATTTCCAAAGCAGAAGCAATGACTTCCTACATCCAAGTATTTTTCCTCACTTGTAGTGAGCGTGAGGTACAACTAACTGAAAAAAAGAAATCTCATCTCCATCCTCCAGCCTGCTTGGTTGGCCTTTCCAGAAGAGAAATAAATAAAGACTAGCTTCTCTTAAATGTTTCAAAACAAAATAATTAAAATGACTTTTTGAGTAAACAACTATGAAACTCAATGAGCTATTTCCTTTAGTTTTTAATAGTCACAGACTCAGGGGCTATCATGGAAACAGCTGCATTCTTTCACGTCTGCCAAATCACTCAGTGAAACTACATCACAGGCTGGCTGCCTGTGCCCCACAGGGTGTGAGGGTTCTCAATACCTGTACCCCTAGGCCACTTGGACACCTGCTTGCTGAGCTGCAGAGTGGTGTTTTTCCAGTTTGAGAAGACTATACAGCACTATGACAATGTGCCCAGCCTAACTGGAAGAATTATCTAAACCTGACTGAAGATACTTGGTAAACAATAATGAAAAAGACAGCTTTAATTGTCCTAAAGCTTGAAATTCTTCCTGAAGCTTAACATACAAGGGATAGGGGCCAGATTACTGAATTTCTAAGAAAATAGTCATTCTCTCTATTACCACTTTTAAAGCAGTCACGAAAAGAAGCATCAAAAATCTTCCCGATCACGAATGCTTCTTTTCTTCAGGAGACATTCAGGTAGAAAGAAGAATAAAAATGCCCCCTCCCCCGTGCCTGGAGCAAATAGTGGTTCATTCTAATGAGGAGGATGGTTATAATACTTCTACACTATTTTGCTTCCAAGTGGGGGTGATTTGTTTGGTTCGCAATATAAAATAAGGAAACACTATCCAGCAACACAAACTAAGGAAATGCCCATGCATACTACAGTATGGGTGAGCCTCAAAAGCAGTGCAAGATGCCCCATAATGTATGACTCCACTTACAGGAAATCCTTAGGACAAGCCTATAGGGAAGAAAAGCGGGGGAGCAGTTAAGATTGAGGGTGTGCAAAGATTGCAGAAGCGATCATTCTCCGAGTGACAGAAGTGTTCTAAAACACTTAAAAGAGACATACAACTATATAAACTAAAGAGCACTGAATTATAGCCTTAGCATGGACAGATTCGTAACGCATAAACTATAACCAAACCTATTTGAATAGATATTGTACCTAGAAATTACTGGCTATCCATATCTGGGGCTGGTTCTTAGCTACCACCCACGTCATTTGTCTCATAAAATTCTTCGTTAATTCTGCTTTCTCGATTTCCATTTATAAAAAGTTATAATTGGGGCGAGACTGGAGGAGATTACACATTACCAAACCCAAGCCTGTCCTAACTGCAACAGGCACCAGGTCTGGAAATTTGAAAGGGCAGTCAGGTATAAGTAAACAGTTCTTGATCTAGAAGAGGTATGGCTGTCTGTACCCATGGCAGTCACTGAGTCCGCTTGGGACAACCGACCTCCAGCAGAAACGAAGACGGAAGGCTTCAAACACCCAGGCCGCGGGCAGGTTTTCTAACACATAAAGGGCACGCGTCTGCCAAAGCCAGGTTGGTTTACTTTAGGAGCTCGAACTCATCCCAGCAGAGCACGAGGTTGGGAAGTTTCGAGGACCTGGTAGCTCTCTCTCCTGGGCACCCTGCGCCGCACGGTCACCCAGGTCCAGGCAGCGCCGGATGGACGGCTGCGGGACCTGCGCGGGGGCCGCCACCTGGCCCAGCCTTTCCACCCCAGCGCCGTCCACGTGCGCCGTGGAGCTGCTTTCCCAGCCCCCACCCGTTCCCCACACTCTGGGACCTTCGGGGCTCCTTGGAGACAGGCGGACGCCGCGTGGGGGCGCGGGGGGCGCGGGCTGCGCGCCGCGGGGGTAGGCGCCACCACGCCGGCCTCGCGGGGGGCCCTCGGGAGAGGAGGGCGGAGCTGCGCGCCCCCGCCGCCCGGGCCCCGCTCGCCGCTCCTCCCGCGCCCCCCGCGCAGTGCTCATGCGCGCGCCCGGCCTTTATAGCGGCCGCGGGAGCCCCGCTGTCCGCACTCTGGCGGGCGCAGCCGGGCGGTTCCCACGCAGGTGCCGGACCCGCGGGCGGGCGGGCGGGCGGCGGGATCCCCGACTGGCGCAGGCCCCTGCCCTCCTCCGCCGCTCCCGCTCCCCGTCTTCCTGCGGCCCACCCCGCCTCCCCACCTCCCCGAGGCTGCAACTCCGGTCTGGGTTCGGCGGGGTTGGCGCCGCCTCTCGGAGCGGCGGCTCGCGGGTCGGGGTCGGGTCGGGGTCGGGTCGGGTCCCTCCCGGCCGCGCGGCGCGCCCGACGCCTCCCCTCCGTCTCGCTCTTCCCAGGTCCACAGCGCCCCGACACCATGCCTGCAGCCTGGATGCCAGTCCTCCGCCTCGGTGCGTACGCGTCCCTCCCCGGGCGGGCCCCTCGGGCGCGGGGCGGCGGCCGCACCGCACGCGCTCTCCCGCCTCCCCTCTCTCCGCAGGTGTCTCGCTGCTGCTGCTGCTGCTGCCGCCGGGGCCCGCGGGCGGCGACGGAGCCGGTGAGCTGCGGGGTCCGGGGTCCGGGAGGTCCCGCTCGGTCCGCACGCGGCCCTGCGCGAGAGGCGGAGGGCGCGCACGTCGGGGCCGCTGCTGGGCGGGGGTCACCGCCTTCCCCCGCCCGCGGGGACCGGCGCTCCCGTGGGGCGAAGAGAGCCGCCCGCCCCGTCGCGGGTCCTCCGCCGGAGCCGAAGGGAGGTCGAGGCAGAGGTGTTCCCTGAGCCCCGGGGGTCTGCTGCTCCGGGTCAGGGAAGCCTTTAGACTGTGGTCCCCGTGAGAGAGAGAGAGGCTGATGTCATTTTCCCACATAGGTGGGCTTCTGGATGTCACGCTTGTGAAAAGCAGCGTTGGCGCTCCCATTCCCTGGCACAGTCTGAAGAGTTTGCTGTAGAGCAGAGGTTCCCGTCCGAGGGTGTGATTCTGTGTGTTTCCCTGCAATGCAATGTAAAGGACAAGCTCTTTTCTCAAATCTATTGTTTGCCTTTCCTGAAAAGTAGAAATGAGGATAAGCATTGTGCCCAGCTGCATTTTCCATCTCTCCCTGAGTGAAGTCAGGGTTAGCAGCTGAAAGCGCAGTCTCTGACCCACATTCCAATACTGCCCCTTCCTCCGCCAGAAACGGGAGAAGGATTTGGACTGTTTGATAATAAGCAGAAGGCTTCTGTTTTCGATAAAGATTTTAACTTTCCCGGTTCTCTAGAGAGCTCTCGAGCTAAAGAGTCAGTCCTGTAACCACCACCCTCCCTTCCCTTTCCATGGACTTGTCCTGTCTAAAAGTCCATGCAGGAGTGTCCTTGTTAGAAGCAAGCTACTCAGTTGGGCTGTGACCAGACAGTATTCCTCTTAGAAAAAAAGCGAGGTTTTTGTTTGTTTGTTCCAAGGCGTTGTGAATAACCACATATTCTTCCGTTTGGAATGGTTTTTAGTAACACGAGTCTCAGTTTCATATCTCCAGTAAGTTGACAAATTAATGTTTTCTGTTATCTTAGTACATATTGCCAAGACCTTTCTCTACCTAGCATCATCTTAGTAAAATTTTTGATTATTAGGATGACTGTAAAACTTGAGCATGTTAACAGTGCTTTCTAACAGTGCCTGATATATCTCTTTGGACAGATCTGGAGCAGAAATAATCAGGTTCAATTAAGATAAAAATGCTCCATTCTGATGAGACTAACTTCCTTGTGCTCTGTCCTCTGGGAGGACTGTTCCTTGCGTAAATTAACCCCATGGCTTTAATTTCCTCATCTGTTAAATGAACAGTTGAGCTAAATAACATTCTGTGAATTTAAGGATTATCGTACTGGTTTGCTTAAGTGAATGTGTGAGTCTTAAGACTCTGCGTTTGTAGAATAACTAAGACAAATGGCTCTATGTAGGGAGGGATAACTTAGATTTTCACATCCATCTGAAAATGTCCCTAAAAGCTCAATTCAGACAATACAGTTTTATCAGAGTTGCGATTTTTACATTTCTAGAATGCATAAATGTTTAATGACTAATGTTATTTTTGAGATCTGATGTATTTCAAATTATATGCTTTCAAACAGCTAGAAACGGGAAACTTGTGATACTAGATTTTCTGTGGTGCTGGAGACTAAATTAAATTGGAAAACAAGCTTCTGCTTCACTAAAATCTGGTGTGGAATGGTGCTTAAATCAGTATTCTTTGTAGAAGTGTGGAAATTTGGAAAGGAAACCTTAAATCCCATTCCCTAGTTCCTCCTCTGCTACTCCCGGAGAGGTCCTAAGGGTGCTTATTACATTCCCACTTTCTTTTCAGTTCCCATTGCTATCACATGCTTTACCAGAGGCTTGGACATCAGGAAGGAGAAAGCAGATGTCCTCTGCCCAGCAGGCTGCCCTCTTGAGGAATTCTCTGTGTTTGGGAACATAGTTTATGCTTCCGTGTCCAGCATATGTGGCGCGGCAGTGCACAGGTAATCACAAAGATAGCTGTGGGGAGGGGAGATGCAAGCATGATTACTTACTTTTCCGCTATAAGCCATCTGGACCACCTTCCTCCCCTCGTCTTTTGGTGCCAGTTGTGGCCACAGAAGATGGATTTAGTTTCAGAGTTTTCCTGGGTATCCTTGAAACACCAAATATACAAGGGAAGCTTTCTGACAGAGGGCAGATTGCATTACTTCTTGGTGGCTAGATTCCTGTTTTTCTGAAGATTCCTAATTATTTCATATATTATGGAGGGGGTTTTTTGTGTACATGTGCCAGCTGTTTTCTTAACTTCCACCACAAGTTGGTACAGCTTTACTCCACTTTAGAGATGACGGTACTGAATTAAGAGAATAAAGCAACTTGTCTATGTCACAGTTGTTGGCCAGTGCCATACTATCCTGCAGCAGAATGGGCAGTGTGAGATGCTTTTTTAAAAAATGCAATCCAAGGGCCCATGGAGTCTCTTAAGGCCCGAGTTGTTTGGCACCTTTTTATTAAGTGAATTTCTGAGTGGTGGGTAACAGGCTAATACATTTGTATCCTTAGCATGCTTACGAAATTTGACAGCACAAAACTATTTCCCCAAGCAGGTTTTGTTCCAATGTAGGCAAGTTTTGAAAAGGCTAGCATTATTTTTAAATGACTTTCCTGCTAAACCGTTTTCTTGATTAATGAGAGCAGTAGACGCAGTGTGGCAGTATAAGTCAATTGGATGCCCCGAAAAGTGTAGATAGTGCCTTAGCTGTTATCTTATGTTGCAGGGGAGTAATCAGCATCTCAGGGGGACCTGTGCGAGTGTATAGCCTACCCGGTCGAGAAAACTATTCCTCAGTGGATGCCAATGGCATCCAGTCTCAAACCCTTGCCAGATGGTCTGCTTCTTTCACAGTAACTAGTAGGTACAATTTTACTGTTCTCACTTTTGGCAAATATCACCCCGTCCCTAAAATTAAAAAAAAGTTTTCTGCTTTCCTTGGTCAAACGTTTTTAATGTGATGGGAAAACCTGTGATCATGAAATCAACTGTGGGTCCAGCCAAGAAACCAGAAGGGTCACATACCGCACAAGCCAAACTTAGGTGAATAGGGAAAGAACAATTTGCTGTGACACAGTAGCAGTAGAAATTTAAATTGCCTATAGTCAGAATGCCTGGACACTTACCAAGTAACACTAAACTGCAAAACTGGTGAATTCACTTTTGATGATCCTTTTAAATACAATAGATGAGTTTCCATTTGGGTTCTCTGAAACTAACACGCAACACAATGTTTCTACTGAGTATCGCCATTTCCCTATTACATTTATCATCCAACCCTAAGTCAGATTCATAATGCCTTGATGATGAAGAAGGAAGAGGAAAACATAGACTTATCTTTATTTTAACAGAAGGCAAAAGTAGTACCCAAGAAGCCACGGGACAGGCAGTGTCCACGGCGCGTCCACCAACAGGTATGAACCGTGAAATCTGTGTGTCCTAGTTGCCTGGCATAGCGTTTGGGAATTATAAAGAAATGCGTTACTGATAAAAACTTTCCTTTAAAAACTTGGCAAAATACCTGATGAAATAACTTTTCAAGAAAGAAAAGTTGTGGTTCAAGGTTTCAGAGATTTCAGGCTGTGGCTAGCTGGTTCCATTGCTTTTAGGTCTGTGTTGAGGAAGAAGCATCTTGAGAGAAGAGTGTGGTGGAGGAAGACCGCTGCCTCGAGGCAGCCAGGATGCAGAGAGAGAAGCTAGAACTTGCCTGTTGGCTTCCTTCTCCATTTGTCCCCCACTCAGTTGAATAGTGTTGCCCATAGTAAGGGCAGATCTCTCTTAGTTTACTGTTTCATGTGCCAGTTATTTCTGCAAACAGACACATCCAAAAGTGCTTTCAAATTTCCTATGCATTTCTCAATCCAGTCAAGTTGACAAGATTGAGAAACAAGGTTAAAGAAACAAAGTAAATATCTTAGGTTTGCTGATACATTATGCACAGAAATACTCAATTTTTTTTTTTGAGATAGGGTCTCATTGTAGTTCAGGCTATCTTGGACTGACTTCGTAGCCCAGGGTGGCTCATGATGATCCTCCTTCCTCAGCCTGCCCAGAGCTGGGATTACCAGTGTGTACCACCATACTCCAGTCAGAAATATTGATTTATATTTTAAATTCCTTATACTTTTGACTGTGAACTACGCTGTCAGTTATTCTCTTGAAGTCCTATCTGACTTGACAGAACATGCCTAAGAACTTGCCACAGTAAAAGGACATGAACTTTCTACTGTTTCATTTACTTCACTAAATTCCCTTATTTACTGCACCATCATATGAATAAAGGACTGGTGTGTGTCTACTGTAAGAAATAGCCAGGGATTCCCTCTTTAAAGACTGTTTTAAAACTGGGAATTAAAACCAAGGAGCATGAAGCTGCATCCTCAGACCTTTTTATTTATTTTAAGACAGAGTCTTAGTTGCTCAGGCTGACTCCTAAATTGCTATCCTCCTGCCTCAGCCTCCTGAGTAACTATGTCTGTTTTAAAATCAAAGAAATTAAGAACTTTAGGCTCTGAGTTCCCAATCCTGCACAGTTGTGGGTTTGGGACTTTAAAGTCATAGGTCAGAGGTGTTTCAGATATGGAGGCCTTCTATAGTTCTGTATCTGTTGTTTGTTGGGGCATTGTTTCCCCAGTCCACAAAATCATAAGGAAATTTTAAAAAAAAATGTTTTCAAGAGTGACACTTCCATTGCCTTCCTGTATTCCTGCATTATGAGAGGCAGAGGCAGGAGGGTCTCAAGTTTGAGTCTAGGCTAGGCATTTTAGCAACTAGCAAGATTTTGTCTCAAAATAAAAAAGGGCTAGTGTGTAGCTCAGTGCAAAGGCCTTGGATTTCATCCTTAGTACTGGAGAAGAAAAAAGAATGACACTCCTAGCCAGGTGCAGTGCTCTTCTCCTGTTATTCTAGCTATTAGAGAGGCTGAGGCAGGAGGATCACAAGTTGAAGGCGAGCCTGGGCGGCAAGACTGCTTCAAAATTTTTTAAAAGGGCTAGGGCTGTATCTTAGTTGGTAGAGCACTTGCCTAGCATGCCTCAGGGTCTGGATTCAATCCCCAGTACTGTTCCCCGCCTCCAAAAATAGTCTTTATACTGCTAATATCAAGTGCTGCTTTTGTTTCAGGGAAACGACTAAAGAAAACACCTGAGAAGAAAACTGGCAATAAAGGTAAGAATGAGACATCCATTTGTGAAAATAGCATTTTCCCATCTCTTCTTGAGACTGCTAATGAGAGGACTTGTTTGATATTCACAGACTGTAAAGCAGATATTGCATTTCTAATTGATGGAAGCTTTAATATTGGGCAACGCCGCTTTAATTTACAGAAGAATTTTGTTGGGAAGGTGGCGCTGATGTTGGGAATTGGAACAGAAGGACCACATGTTGGCCTTGTTCAAGCCAGGTATCAACTCTGATAAAATGAGCAGTGACTGATGTCTTGAATGACAAATTACCAATCTGATACATTCATTTTGTTTTAGTACAGTCATGCTGAGTTGTTGATCCATATGCTAAGTCTTTTTTTTTTTTTTGAATGAGGTTTCATTTACTTGCCAGACTGGCCTTGAATTTGTAATAATTCTGCTTCAGCTCCTCAATAGCTGGGATTCGCTGAGCATGGTGGCGCATGCCTCTAGAACTCAGGCAGTTGAGACAAAAGGATTGTTGTGAGTTTGCATGGGCTACAAAGTGAGTTCAAGGCCAGCATGAACTGCATAGTGAGACCATCTCAAAAAGACAAAAAAAATTTTAAAAATAAACAGCTGGGATTATATATATGCATCACTGTGCCCAGAGTCATGTGCTGCTTTTTTGTTTTGTTTTGAGACATGGTCTTTCCATATAGTTCAGGCTGGCTGATGGAGATCTTCCTGCCTTAACCTTCCAAGTGCTCTCATTATAGGTGGGCACCACTACACTCAGCCTCCCTGTACTGTTTTGATGACTGTAGCTTTGTTGTATATTTTAATAGCCCATAAGGCAGGTCCCCTATAGTAATTTTCATATATTTGTTATATATGTATTTTTTTCGGTACTGGGAATCAAACTCAGGACCTTATGCTTACCAGGCAGGCACTTGTGCTGCTGAGCTATATTCCTGGATGTATGTTTATACACACATCTATTTTTTAAAGGGTCTTACTGTGTTGCCCAGGATAGCCTTGCACTATCGTGACTCAAGCAGGCCTCCTACATCAGTTTCCCAAATACCGAGGAATACATACAGGTGTATGCCACCACACCCAGCTAACAGTAAATCTCAGTCTTGATTGGTAAATGTTATCATTTATTATAAGAAAAATGTAACATCATTAATATCTTTTGTCTTGGTTACTTTTCTCATATAGCTGAAACAAAATATCTGATGCCCAGAATGAAGAAAGAAAAGGTTTACTTAGTTTACAGTTTGTGGAAGTTTCAGACCATACTCAGCTGGCTCCAAGGCGAGCTGGTGTGGATGAGGGGCAACTGTTTATGGTGGCTGTAACCACCAAAAGCAACAAGAGCAAAAGGGCAAAAGGATGAAGCAAGCCTCCTTCCCTCCCTTATATTGTATACAATCCTCCCGACCCAGGCAGATGCAGCATTCACACTGCCAATCCCAGCACTAGACAATGAACCAATCACAAAATCTAGATTCGGCTGCCTTTGAAAGGCCCCCAGGACCACATGAGGCTTTGGGGGAATATCCAGACACAAACTGTAACATCCTTGTAACTTTTTTCATTTTTATAATTTTGGTCTTAGTATAATTGAAACTGTCCCTTCTGACCAGAGACCTGGGTTAATTACACTCAGGCTGCTGAGTACATCCAGGGTCCACTAGGTCCAGCAGATCTAGTCTCACAGCCAGCTTCCTGTTTGGTACCCTGTGACCAACTCTGCAGCCTTCCACTAACCCTGAGCCCCTGGGCCAAGGTGGGTTTCAGGTGCTATACATACCATTTAGGCATAGCCTTTGGAACCATACAACCCTGACTGTACAGTCAGCTACGTTTTATTGGGCATATTACCTAGGTCAGTGGTGGTGAACACATGGCACACATGCTGTAGCTAGCTGGCTGTTGCCACTGAAAACTCTAAAAGGCTTGCCATCACTCATGTAGGTACTCTGAGCATATTTCATTTATATAATCAAGATAATAATTTGTACTCTCAGACATGATGAGATTGTGTATGTAATGTATTGTATTACTTAGGATATAACCAACCCTCAGTATAGCAATTATATGTTGCATTTCTGAAACATCCTCAGTAAATCACGTAAGGATGCAATACCTTAGTTGACTAGACCCATAGGATTAAAAACAGAACTGGGGTTTTGTCTGATTTAAAAGCTTTTTTATGCATCTAATGTTGCTTATTTAGCCTTTCCAATACTCCCTGGATAACTTTTTGTTTTTTAATTACAGTGAACATCCCAAAATAGAATTTTACTTGAAAAACTTCACATCAGCCAAAGATGTTTTGTTTGCCATAAAGGAAGTAGGTTTCAGAGGGGGTAATTCCAATACAGGTAAGTAAAAATTGGCCAGAGGCTTAATGGTGATCAGACATATAAAACAGTATTATGTCATTTTGGATAAACAGATGTGAAACACTTTCTCCTGGAGCTGAAATCATGACTAGGCCTGCATTTGATCACCCAAGATAATTATTCAATTTACAATGGAAAATATACCAAGGAAAGAATGGATAACAATTTTTAAAAAACAAAAACATGGGGCTGGAGGTTTAGCTCAGCGGCATAAGCCACCTGCCTTGCAAGCAGGCAGCCATGAGTTCGATCCCCAGTACCAATAAAAAGGAAAAAGACAAAAAAAAAAAAAAATTGCGATACATAATCTTTACCCGGGACAGACCAGAGAACACTTTAGAGAAATACTTACTTTTAACACTAAAAAGCAGCAATACCAACAGACTAATGAATGCAAGCATGGCAGAAAGAATTAAGCGTAGCACAAGTGACCCTCTGAGGAGACTTCCTGTTCTGAGTCCTTAGAGGTACTTAGCAGTCACCAAGGAACAAGAGCAGATGACAGGGGTAGGGTCAATTGATTGAGGTTAAGGAAATGGGAGGCTTCTGGAAGTGGAGGAGGAAGTGTGGGTTGTGAGGACAAAAAAATAGGCCTAAAGTATAACTGTTCCTAACTCATGTATCTAAAATAGACTCAAGTTCCATGAAAGTTAAATTCTTAATGGTGCCAAATTACTCTAGGGAAACAGAAATGTCATTTAAGAGTGTTAAATGCTGGTTGGTTTCATTTTCAAACCTAGGAAAAGCTTTGAAGCACACGGCTCAGAAATTCTTCACAGCAGATACTGGAATGAGAAAAGGGATCCCCAAAGTGGTGGTGGTATTTATTGATGGCTGGCCATCTGATGACATAGAGGAAGCAGGAATTGTGGCCAGAGAGTTTGGAGTCAATGTATTTATAGTTTCTGTAGCCAAGCCAATCCCTGAAGAACTGGGCATGGTTCAGGATGTTGCATTTGTTGACAAGGTAAGATGGGGAAGGGGTATCTTGAGTTACAGTGGTAGATTCAACTTTGGGCCTCTAACCAGTGCTGACAGGCCCTCATCTAGATTAACTTTGAACACCTAAGATTTGTTTTCACAATTTTAAAAAAACCATTTGATCCTTTTGAATATCTTATGTATTTCCCACATTAGGCTGTCTGTCGGAATAACGGCTTCTTCTCTTACCACATGCCCAACTGGTTCGGCACCACAAAATATGTAAAGCCTCTGGTACAGAAGCTCTGCTCTCATGAGCAAATGATGTGCAGCAAGACCTGTTATAACTCAGTGAACATTGCCTTCCTGATTGACGGCTCCAGCAGTGTTGGGGATAGTAATTTCCGCCTCATGCTTGAATTTGTTTCCAACATAGCCAAGACTTTTGAAATCTCAGACATTGGTGCCAAGATAGCTGCTGTGCAGTTCACTTACGACCAACGCACAGAGTTCAGTTTCACTGACTACAGCACTAAGGAGAATGTCCTAGCCGTTATCAGAAGCATCCGCTATATGAGTGGAGGAACAGCTACTGGTGATGCCATTTCCTTTACTGTTAGAAATGTGTTTGGTCCTGTGAGGGATAGTCCCAATAAAAACTTCCTGGTGATCATCACTGACGGGCAGTCCTATGATGATGTCCGAGGCCCTGCTGCTGCAGCACATGATGCAGGTGAGGTCCTTTTCCTTTGTATGGGCATGGAACTGAGAAAGGGGTTCTGTGAGTTTTGAGAGTAAATACAAACTGAATCACATACTTTATTTATTGAATAAATACCTGCAGTGTGACAGTGTTCTAAGAGCTTTATGCAGTATTATCTGACTTTTCAGAACAGTCCTGCTCGTCTCATCGTACAAACAAGCAAACAGACTTCCTCAGAATGACACAGCTATTAAGTAGCAAGGATTCAAACCCAAGCATTCTGGCTTCAGAGTCCATATTCCTATACTCTTTTTTTTTTTTTTTTTTTTTTTTTTTTTTGTGTGTGTGTGTGTGTGTGGTACCAGGGATTGAACTCACAACCTTGCGCTTGCCAGGCAGGCATTTATGCCACTGAGTTAAATCCCCAGCCTAGAGTCCATATTCCTAACCACTGGGTTATTAGAACTGCACTGAAAAACATGTGTTGAGGATTGAAATTACTGGTGTTTAGCTCCGTGGCCTAAGCTCTTGCCTGGCAAGTGCAAGGTTGTGCAATCAATCCCTGGTACAAAAAAACCAAACAACAAAAACAGAAATTACTGATGCTTATGTCTGGCTCAAATAGGAAATAAATTATACCTACAACTTACCATGTGATTATCCTATTTTAGTACAGTTTAGTCTGGCTTGAGTTTTCTAAAATGGTGAGGTCTCCAATAAAAGTTTAATATTACCTTGTTAGAACTTTTCCTAAAAAATTTTTCCCTATAAAATAATACACATTTACACTTTTAAGAGTATAAAATTTCTTCACCCCAGCTTTGGTATTTCTTTTTGAAAGGGCTTGTTCAGTATGTTAGCATAATGTGCTGCTGAAAGATTCCCTTTCTAAGGAAATAATTAACTTGGGAGAATCCACAGCCTTGCATTCTGGTATATTCCTGTGCCATCTCCTTTCACACCTTACTTCTTTTACTTTTTTATTTATTTTTAAAATTTTATTTAAAGAAAGAAAATTTTAAAAATAGAAAAGACAAGGAAAAAAGTAGAATACAGAATTCAAAAAAATCAACATAAAACTGATAGTTGATACATTACATACTGTCATCTTAACAATAGTTAAGTTACAGAATCAAAGCATAAAAAGTGGCTAGGCACTCAAGACATTGACAGTGCAATGTCTTCTGTTCAATTATCTTACAGAAATTTAGTAATATGGCCATCTATTGTACAAACTATACATACCATTATATCCTTTAGGGCACTTTACTTACCTTTCACTTAGTTATTATACTTTTTGTATCCCATTATTGTCAGTTAATTTTTTTATACCAGACAATGTGATATTTACTAATGTGAGTTATTTCACTAATGAGGATATTCTCAAGTTGCCTCAGTTTACCTATAAAGGCCTCAAGATCCTTTTTTATAGCTGAATAGTATTCCATTGTAGAAACCACAATTTTTTCATCCACTCTGCGGTTAATGGACATTTTGGTGGTTTCCTCCATCATCCTTAATGACTTTGTTTCATTCATTTCTATCAGGACCTCTCCTAGTGTATCTTTTATATTTTTATAAATACTGATGAAATATGGTTCATGAACTTAAATTTGTTCAATTTTACAAAAGGTGGCCATGGTTGTTTGTCATCCCGTGCAGAGGGTACAAACAAAATTCTGCCAAACACGTTTGTGAACCAAGGTACTACTGTACTTTTGACAGCCAACTGCTACAGGCAATTTAAACAGTATATCGTATTTTTTCATATTAGCAACTGATTGTGTTGAAGATGTACCTGTCTGTTGTCACTCTCAAACATAGTGAACTACTTTATGGCTAGCAGGATTGTATTCCTGCTAAAGCAAACTAAATTCAGATACATTTACCTAGTGATTAAATTTAAGGAGGGTAGGCTACACTATAAATTTCATGACATTATGTTAGTGAAAGTCACAAAAGGTGGAAAACTTAGCTTTTAGGGCTAGATCACACTTTAAAAAATTGTACAACTCTATAAATAAAGTTACTTTTCTGGAGGTGGTAGGAAGAGGTGACTGGGTGGTAATGATCAATCAAATTAAAACATTTTAAGTAGCTTTAACATCCTCTAACTTTGCTTTGTATCATCTGAGCAATGGATACCACTAAAAAGGGGAATAAAACCTGAAATAGGGAAAAAGCTATTTCAGAAACTCAAGATATTAAGATTATCATCTAGCAGAAGATAGATGGTAGTCACCCCCTAAGAATCTGCTGAACCAATACATCTGCAATCAGGACTGATGTGAATTGCAGTGGGTATGAATCCAACTAACAAAACTGTCACTGTAAATCAAACCATGCAGTTGTACTTTTAAAAGTCTTACAGTAACTCAAATGCAGATGGAATGATCAAAGAAACGGAAATTATCCCAGCTTCATAAAAAAAAACCCTTTCCTTTAGGATTAAAGACTAGCAAATTCTGAGTTTTCAAAGTAACTATAAACGGTTAACATGGAGGAAATTACCCACAGCAAACTAGACACCATTCACCAGACAATACAACCCGTGAAAAATTACCATTTACCCTTTGTATCATTTTCTCCTTTCAGTAACTGATTAGGACTTCAGTAGTATTCAGTTACAGATCTGATGATAGGCTCAGGTAGTTCTCATGCAAACCTCAGAGGAAATTTTCACTTTGTTTAACCATCTGTTTTCTGTAGGATTTTTGAAGAAAGGATACTGTGTACCAGGTTAAAGTTTCTATTCCTGGCTTACTAAATGTATTGTTATAGATACCCAACTTCAAGAAAGTTTTGTTTTTCTGGTATCAGAGCCTTCTGGTTTTGACTGCTCATCATGACTAAAACATTACCTAGCAATATGGGGAATTCAGTTTTTGAGAAATTAATAGGCAGTTTCTCTGCAATCAGGTATCAATGTATGTGTGATTTTATATGTAGAAACTGGATCTGTTTCTGATTCATTTTAAAATATTTCTATTGTAGGTATCACCATTTTCTCTGTAGGTGTGGCTTGGGCACCTCTGGATGACCTGAAAGATATGGCCTCTAAACCAAAGGAATCACATGCGTTCTTCACAAGAGAGTTCACAGGACTAGAACCAATCGTTTCTGATATCATTAGAGGCATTTGTAGAGATTTCTTAGAATCCCAACAATAATGGTGGTATTTTGATAACCAAAAAGTGCAAGATTTAATGTATAAATTGTATTCTTATGATAGTGAAATACCATAGCATACTAGGATCAGATACATTAAACATGTCAACAGCTATTTTAAGCAAATAAACATTCATTTAAAATTACTACCTTCTAGTTACAACTTAGACTTTTGACTGAGGCTTCATAACCTTAGCCCTTAGAAATCCAAGAAAGATGATCATGTTTTAAAACCTTAAAAGTTCTAATATACCTATAAAATGTACAGATTTGCAAGTGCCACAGCTCAATAAAAGAATCTGATACTTACAACAAAAAGCAACATTCTCTAATCATTCTACTGACTATATAAGGAAAATGAGCAGCGTTCAAGTATAAATACCATGACCCAAGTGTTTTCTTAAAACCAGTCAATAACAGACAGCTGTTACTTCATACACTAAAAACTAAAGACTATAAGGAAATGGGCATCATAACTTCTGGCTACTTTCATAACTTACAAATGAAAATATACAAAATAAGGATTGTCAGGTATTTTTCTATTTATATCCTTAATTTTGTATGTGTATAAAATTGGCTTGTAGTCAAAGGCGACAGCAGGATTTTTGAAGAGATTCAAATAGAAATACAAGAAAAATATTGTAGTTTGAATAAATAAAATGGCTAGTGACTTATTCCAACCTGCTTTTACTTTTTGCCCATTTCCGTACAGAGTATGATTAAATTTTGCATTTACTATGGCTCACAGATCAATCTGATCTGTTTTGCATTTACTATGGTTCTCAGACCAGTCTGATTTGCTTTTTTTCAAATCACACAATACTAAGTATATTTTTCATTTATTTACTGAATGCCTACTGTTTTTAGGCATATGCAGGCATTACTAGGTGAAGCACTATGCTTTTGAGTATTTGCTTCAAGAGAAATGTTTTATAAGTTGTGTCACTTTTACTTAAGTGTGTTTGTGAGACTCATGCCTAAGTAGAACATCAGAACTCCCTTAAGATAATTAATTCAGAGGGCCTCTTTCTTTCACATAGAGGTGCTCTATCACCCCATCTTGCTGGTCTTTAAAAACAGATTCTGTCTCATCACCCACCTGTGCACCCTACCTTGCTTCAAATACACTCCTTCTAATTGAAACTTTACAACCAAACAGTAAGGTATTAACTGGTTGGAGTAATACTCCAGTAAATCTTTTCAATCTAACAATTATTTAGCCCATGCAAAGAGAATAAAAGAATATGTATGGGAGGATACAGAATTTTACCTTGGATAGTACAAAAAATTTTCATCTGATGAAAGGGCAATGAAGGCAATAATTTCCCTCTTTCCCTTTAACAAAAGAGTTTCCCTCCACAAGTACACAGACCTCAGATTCTCAGCCAGGCATACCAAAATAAACTTTATTTATTTAGAAGATTAGGGTGTCTCGCTGCGTAGCTCAGGGTGGTCTCAAACTTACACAGTCCTCCTGCTTCAGCCTTCCCAAGTGATACAAGGACAAACAAACATGAAACAATAAAACCTTGAAACCTGGAAAATCTAAAGCTAATACTTTCACTGACTTTTATAGGAATAAACAAAAACCAGAACTTCAAGTTACTTTCAATTCCTGTAAAACAGGATAAAGAGTTAATAAAAGGAGGTAAAAGAATTTTAAAAAACATGGACCACAACTTTAGTGGACATGCCTAAATTTCAAATACACTAGCTTATTTATAATTTTAATACATTAAATGCCCCTCTTCTAATTCAATTTACACCTGCCTTCAAAGAAAGGATATATTACCTATTGGAAGAAAAAGTTTAACATAATAAACTTATTTATAAAGGACAACTTTTAACTAATGAGTAATGTAGTTTATTCTTTACTGAATTTTTTTATGAAAATAGGTATGGGTAGACAGGACATCATTAACTGAAATTCAGATTTAATAAAGCAAGTTATTAAAACTATCTTTTTAAAAAAATCACTCTAAAATTTAACATTTTAATTTCAAAAACTTACTAAATGGAGTGAAATACGTCACAAAGAAACTGTTACTGTTCTAATCTTACCGTTTTACCAACAACCAGTAGAAGGATAAACAGCATAAAAAAATGACGGACTAAGAAACCACCTCCTTGTCCTAGTTTAATTATGGAGAATATTGCACTTTATTATTCAACATAAAATGATGTAGCCAGCAGTAACATACAGGTACACAATTTAATATTTATTATATGCATTTTATGTACATTATTTTTCAACAGCTGTACTTTTTGTGTTGTGGTACAATCTTAAAAATTTGCTGATTCATAGTTTGTAAAACAAAAACCTTACAAAACTCATCAAAACTCGCAAACTGATCAGAAAAGTTTTTTTGGAAGACTAGAAAAAATACTTTATTGTCTTAATCATGCATTACACAAACAAAATCTTTAGTTACACCATAAAATTAAGCACATCTAAAAAAATAAAACAGGGAAAACTAGTCCAAACACAGCAGATTCTGTATTCTGATTCAATTATTTTTGTGCCCTATTTGTAATGTAAATAAAATTTTACTCCAAATATCTTTAAATAAGAAAATTTTGTTTGGAATTGTGGTAATCCAAGATAAGTATCTTGGAGGGAAACATCTTGGATTTGTAACTTAAACTATAAAATATTCCATTTTTAGTCTATTTTAGACTATTCAAAGAATCCCAAAATAGATATACAGGTTTCTTTAGCACATTAATAAAAGGATATAAAGACCAAAAAAAAGTGAAATAAATAATAGGCCATTAGCAAGATGGATAATCCTTGATAAATAAACTTGTAAATACAGTAAGATGTACAAAATATCACATAGTGATAGGATGCCAAGATTAGTTTTTTAAAGAGTTCATTTGGAGTACTAAACCCCATGTTTCATTTTAATGTATTTAATAGTCCTTGGTTCTTGAAGACATTTACGTGATGAGGAAGGTGATTTAGCATCTTTATGAAGGACTTAACTGAGCTGTAGTAGGCAAAAGAAGAAAAAGTAGTTTATGGGCAGATGGTCAGTGAGATCTCTGTGTTTAGGGTTGTATGATGCAGAAAAACGTCAATACATCTTGAGCACTGTTGTGACAGGCTAAATATATAAAAAGACTTATAAAAACTAGAATTTTATCCAAACATTTTGTGCAACTAATGCTAAAATATTTTAAGTTTTCTTTTTTTTTTAAAGCAAAATAAATTTAAATGGGAATCTGTGGCATTCAACTGATAAACGTAACATTACTAAGAGATGAAAAAAAGCTACTCTTGGAGCTCACTTCCCCTCATCAAGAGCACCACATTCCTAACCCTAAGGCAGCACACAGAGTCCCCCCCCCAAAAAATAGAATAAAATAAAATAAAAAATAAAAGTCTTTGTAAGATCAGACTCCACATTGGCTTAAATACACCTTAAAAAAAATACGCTCAGTTCATATCCAGTACAATTACTGGAGTCCTTTTACTTTCTGTCCCATAAAGTACAGTAATTACAGTTAAGTCAATGACCCTAACATTAAGATGTGATTTCCACTAATTTATGCCTGCCCCAAATACCTACAGCAGGCAGATCACATGTAGTGTCATATCCAGTAACCTTTTTGATGGCAGTGATGCAGACCCTCCTTTTGTCCAAGAAAATCTTTTGTCATGATGAGAGTTTCTGTTGGTTCACACAAATACTTTTGCAAGGGCATCAGCTCCTGCACTGGCAATATATGCTTTTGAAGGATGGAAAGCAACATCATAAATTGATTCGTCCAATTTCTTCCTATGAGCTGTTATTTCTTGCACACATGTCTTGCTATCTAAATTCCATAACCTAATTGAACAGTCATGGCCTGTAAAAAGATAAATAAAACTCATTACTGAGTAATGATTCTTTGAGAAAGTTTACAGGTGGTACAAAGTTCAGACTTACTTCCAGACATCAAATAGATTCCATTAGGATCTACTGCTAGACTTGTAACAGCATCCAAATGAGCTACCATAGAATGGATCATTTTACCTGTAAACGTAACAGGGAAGATTAAGTTTCCAAAATACTAATGTAAGAGACAGAGACCAATGCAGCATCAAGCAAAAGTAATCCTTTTAATAACACTGTTTATTGTGGTAAAAATACACACAACAATACAAAGTTTACCATTTTAGCCAATTCAAGTGTGTACGATTCAGCAGCTTTTAGAATATTCACAGTGTGCAACTATTATGGCCATGATTCAGAACTTCTGTCACTGAAAAAGGAGACTATAACTATTAAGCAATCACTCCTCATTTGTCCCTGACAGCACTAATCTGCTTTTTCTAGAGATTGGCCTATTCTGGCTGCTTCATATGAACAGAGTAATATGGATCTTTTTGTGTCTGGCTGCTTTCATTTGGTATGTTTTCAAGATGCATCTATCATACAAATATTTTGAAGAGAATTTTAATTCTAATACAAAACTTTTCCATATAATTACTCTTAGAAAAGGCATCTATGTGACATGCATTTGACAGAATCTAGACAATGGAAAACATAATAATAGTGTTGCAAAGGCTTAAGAGCATTTAAAATTAAAATTAACCTTTTAGTAAAAGATCTTAAGATAGTTTATACACATGAATTAATGATAAACAAATCACCAGAAAATATACACCTAAAGCTTCTAGGATCAATTTATTTACTCTTTGAAACGTCAATTATTTTATATATTCAAAATAAGAAAGGGGAAGAAGGGACAGAATATATTACAAAAATTACTCGATTTCCCCAGATATTAACAAACTACTGCTCTGAAAAATGTCATTTAGTGACTATTTTAATTGAAGATCTGGCAAGCAAATGGAATTCAACAAGAAGTTTAAAAGTTGGGAATGCAGAACTGTGCTGCATAAGGACTGGGGCAAGGCACCCTATCCTGTCAGTATATGCTTTTGATGGATGGAAAGCAACAAAATAAATTGATTTGCTAGGCTAGGTAAGGTGGCAAAGGCTTGTAATAACAGCACTCAAGAGGCTGAGGCAGGAGGATCACCATGAGTTTGACCACAGCACAATCAAGCCAAGCCAAGCCAAACCAAACCAAACCAAAAACAAAAAGATTCACTGAAAAAGTGAATTAAAAAGCAAATACTAAAACAAAAAACAAACATTAATCCTTGTAAATTTTGCTTCCTGTTTATTCAGGAGAGTCTATTACTAAATTCCTCGCACACTCCTAGTGAAACAGATCTCCAACATCTGAGTTACAATCATTTTGCATGCCTCTGGGCCTTTATGACATTTTATATTGAGATATGAGCTCTGCTTTTGGTACAAACT